CAATCTCTGAAGCGCAGGTAACATGCAGTGGAAACATCGTTGAAACAAGTGAACACGTAGGTGACATCGCTGAACGAAGTAAACCATGCAGCGTTTGAACACTTCTGGAAGGCAGTGTAAACATGAGCATTCGTGAACATCTCTGAAGATGGTTAAACATGGCAGATGAAATGGCTCGAAGCAGAGTGTAACATCGGCTGAAAAAGCTAAACATGCACAGGGTGAACATGCAGGTGAAGATCGCTGAACCAGTAACATGCACAGCGTGAACATCGCTGAAACAAGTGAACACGCAGGTGTGAACCATCGTTGCTACAGGTAAACATAAACAGCAGCGTGAAGCATTAGGCAGAACAAGTAAACAGTGCAGTAAAGATCGCAGAAACAGGTAAACACGGCAGCGGTGAACATCGCGAAGAAAACAAGTGAACGCGCAGGTTGAACATGCTGGGCAAGTGAACATGCAGTCGGTGAAGACGCTGAACAGCTAAATACACAGGTGAACATCGCTGCAACAAGTCGGAACATGCAGGGTGAACCATTGCTGGGTCAAAGTGAACATCGGCAACGGTGAACCATCACTGAAACCAGTAAACATGCACAGGTGAACATCCTAAAACAAGGGAACATGCAGTGTGAACATCACTTGAAACCAGTAAACATGCAGGTGAACATTGCTGAACAAAAACATGCAGGTGAAACACGGCATGTACACGTAAATACACAGCGAAAATGAACATCGCTGAAACAAGTGAACACGGCTGATAGCAAAGTATAATACACAGGTGAACATCGCGTGAAACAACGTGAACGACGCAGCGTGAGCATCGGCTGTAAAAGTGTAAACACACAGTTGTGAAATGCTTAATGCATGGCCTGCAACACTGGCTCAAAAGGCAAGGCACCATCGCCAGAAGGTCAACAAACAGTAGACTCAGAGTAAGGGCCATAACCAATACAGCAACATAGAGCAAGAATGATCACACAGATAATAAGATACACAGTGAAGGCTGTACCACGGTAATTACCAGAGCTGTAGCCCTGGAGACTTAGGCTTTCAACACATCGTGCAGGTCTGATGCGTGCTGGCAGTGGCTAGCCGGAGTGTAGTGTTAGTTAACCGAGAAAAGAGGAAGAAGTGAAGGTACAAAGGAAATAGAAGTTCAACAGAGGAGGCAACTCTCACAAAGTCCGGCTTGAAGAGCGCTTGTCCAACGACTACTGGAGAACTCTTGGAGACGCCACCCTTGCGTCGATGCCCTGTTCTCCGTCAAACTCCACGTACACACTGCTCTTCAGCGGTGCCGATTCTCCATCACATCATCTCCAGCCTGCAACACGATAACTCAGTGTTTGCTCTATACATAAGAGGCCCAGTACGCACACTGCCATTCTCAAATTGTAATCATCGCCAATTGCTGGAAATGTTCCTGTAGGTGTATGATTAAGTAGCTATCCTGTATCTTATACCTATAGAGTATATCAATACATCCCCTGCATACTTCCTCGAACATCATGCACATTTTTTCTCCAGCCAACTAGCCCATTACCTCCTTTGTCTAATTCTTTCCTCAGAAGAAACAAAAAAAAAAAAAAAAAAAAAAAAAAAAAAAAAATACCTGCACCGCCAGCGATCCGGCAGATAAGCAGTTCAGGGTTTGCACACTGAAGAGAAAGCATTCTTTTCAGAGAGTTTTCCAAGAGTTTCAGTTTTTTGGGCCGACAGCAAGATTTGAGTTGATTAGAATCATGTGCCTAAGTATCCTCCATCAACCGATTGTGCACAAACTCTGGCAATGCAAGTCTTCATGCCTCAGCCCAAAGATGGCATCATGTTGCCAAAGCCAATGATCAACAATAATTTTGCAGGACTTTTCAGACCTGGAAAATAGCGTGTTTTCAATACACTGTAGCTTTCTAGGTTTTCCAGGAAGCCACACGGAACTGAAATGACAACCAGCAACGAATGATCCCCCATGCATGCTCTCTTGGTGACGTCTCCCTACCGTCGGGACATAACTACCAACTGATCACTCTATGACCTTGTGCTCTTGCTACGTGGAAATGCTGTCCTCTTTCCCCTAGTGAAACACCCTCGCCACATTTGCTAGGCGGCACCCCTAGTGGAAATGCCCTCGCACGACTCTGCCGGCTACCCTCGTGGCGCACCCTAGTGGAATGCCCTCACCCACGACCTGCCGGCTACCCTCGTGGCGCACCCTAGTGGAATGCCCTCGCCCACGACCTGCCGGCTACCCTCGTGGCGCACCCTAGTGGAATGCCCTCGCCCACGACCTGCCGGCTACCCTCGTGGCGCACCCTAGTGGAATGCCCTCGCCCACGACCTGCCGGCTGCCCTCGTGGCGCACCCTAGTGGAATGCCCTCGCCCACGACCTGCCCGCTACCCTCGTGGCGCCCCCTACCCAGCGCGTGGCATGCTCACCCGAACGAGAGCGTCGTCGATGATGTTATCGCGGCGCACGCGCAGCCGCAGGTAGGGGTTGGGCGGAGCGTCGTGCACGAGCGCCTGCAGCACGGAGAAGCGCCGCTCGTGGTACATGCGCAGCCGGTGCTCAAAGTGCATGCCCTGCACCTTCGCCTGGATCGTCAGCAGGAACGGGAAGTCGACGGCGAAGCGATCATGGAAGCTGCGATCGGCTTCCAGCTGATCACTCAGCACGTCGTTCTGGAAGTGGGCGTGCGCGACGGCCGGCGCAAGGCAGTCGACGACGTGCACGGAGAGCGCGCGTGCCAGCGCATCCTCCGCCGGCGCCTTCGCTTCCTTCGGGGCCATGGCGCCCTGAAAGAAGTCGGCCATTGACTCGTCGTCGGCACGCTCGAGCGCGCGCTCGGCGGCGACCTGCTCCGCGGGGCTGAAGCGGCCGCTGACGAGGCTCGCGTAGAACACGACCTTGAGCAGCTTCGCCGCCGCCTGCACCGTATCGTCGTCGGCGACGGCGTAGCCACGCGCGCACTGCGCGTCGACGATGCGCACCGTCAGCAGCTGCTGCAGCGTCGCCGCCATCGTGTGCAGCCGCGCCGCGTCGTACGTCGACCAGGCGCGTGCGAGCTGAGCGCGAGCCCCCACCGACAGCTCGCCGGCGGCGCGGCAGAGCTCCGGCAGCGCCGCCTTCAGGTACTCGGTGCTGTGCAGCTCGGGGATCTCCATGAGCACGATGAATGCGTGCAGCGCGTGCGTGCCGGCGCGCTCCAGTGCCGTGCCGTTGTACTTCGCCTCGAAGCGGAGCGTCTGTGCGAGTGACGTCATCGCGTTGATGAGCGAGTCCTGGAACGGCAGGCCGGCGATCGCAAACAGGCGCGCGTACACGCGGCGCACGGCCGCGACGTCCACCGCGACGGCGTCCGTCGTCTCCGCAGCAACCGCGTCCGCAGCCGTGGCGGCCGCGTCCGACGCCGCCGCGCCAGCGCAGTCCGCGTCCTCCATCACCTGCGTCGAGTCGGTGTCCTTGTCTTGGTCGCCCTCGAGCGCACGCTTCTCCTCCTTGCACAGTGGCGTCTCACTACATGCGTCATCGGGCTTAGGTGGCGCCACCGGCAGCAGGAAGCTGCGGTTGAGCACGGCTGGGTCAGAGAACACGTGCCCGATAGTCCGTATAAGCTCGGAGTAGTTGTTCTGCTGTTCGCACCGTTGTAGAACCTCGTACATGCTTTCCTCAGTAAGAAATGGAATAGCCTTGCCTGCAACGTCACACGATAACAATCAAGGTAAAAAAAAAAAAATTCCACGGGAGCTCTTTTTCAAGTATGTGGGAAAAATAGCTGTTGTCAAAAATTTTACGGGAGCTATTTTGAGCCTCTCGGGAGCGATTTCGGAGGTTTGAAAAGCGAATCGCTCATCACTCCCGTGTATTTTTTACCCTGATAACAACACAGATGGTCACGCATCAGAGATCAAGTGCTATAACCCAGGGCTCGAATTAACCGACGGCACCGACGGCAATTGCCGTCGGTGCCCCTATCAATCGCCGTACTGCCCCTGAAAATCCAACCCGACCGACGGCAGTCACCTGCCTTACCCTTTTGTGTAATTGCCGTCGGTGCCCTTTAATATACTGCCCTAGTTTCGTTTTTAGTCGAGTCAACATAACATGTGCGCGTGCGTGCTGTAGTTGCAATGATGAGTTTAAAACCGATAGTCGCAGGAGGGAATAATAACATAATTATTCGCTCCTGATAGCGGGCATGTAAAATTTCTTGTTACTGTACTTCCATTAGCAGAGGGGGGTACAGGCGTCGATGTTACAGTGTAAGCTTACATGGGGGCATATTCTTTTGTACATTAAAAGCAAGACGATGTTGATGTACT